TGTACTGCCATTTAGAGTGACACCTTTGTTGTGGTTCATATTGACGCCTGGCCTTAATTGTTAATCACATTTCATTTAACTGTTGGTTGGGGGCGGTGGGGTAGCGTAGTGGTAAAAGCGTTCATTCGTCACACCGAAGACCCGGGTTCGATTCCCGACACGGGTACAATATGTGAAGCCCATTTCTGGTGTCCCCCGCCGTGATATAGCTGGACGATTGCTAAAAGCAGCGTAAAACTAAACTCACTCACTCACTCCCCGTTGGTTGGTTTCACACCTAGTTTGTTTACAGACGATTCCGGTTTAACGTTTCCGTTCGAACTTCGGAATCACCACTTAACAATATGTAATAACTGTCTGCTTTGTACGACACCATTAAGACAAGTTCGCCGCCCTGACTGTGGTATTGGTGAGGTGAAATTGGGTTTTACGTCTTGCTTGAGAATATTTCGCTCATATGACGACGTGCATGCATGTGTATGTGTATGTGCGGCTGCTTGTACTAGCCCAGACTTAAGCTGGTTTTATAGTGCTAGCCCACTGAGATACCATGCCGCGGTGAAGCATGAATAACCCAATCAGACACATTATACTGACTCCGAGCCGACCAGTCCTTGTTGTACCCATTAATGCCGAGCGCCAAGCAGGGACCAACAAGTACCATATTTTAACGTCTTTTGGTATGACGCGATCGGGGATCGAACCCGCGACCTTCCGCTCTCCGGGCGGACGCTCTAACCACTACACCACGGAAGCGGTGACTGTGGTATTGAAGCACGTTCACTCATTCAGTGTATTTTACTTACTGTGATTTGTTGTGACGTTTAGTCTTCCCTGTGAACACAGTATAGAAGTGTAAATTATTTCTATCACATACGACTAACAAAGATAGACGACTAAAAACTGTATACATGTACACCATCCTTCCATCAAACAACTGCTCCTAAGTTGAACTTTTTTTCATAATAGAGCATCTTGCTGATTTAGAGTCCTCAAAGTAGCCTACATGTTATATAAGACACCGTGTCGGTTGTGCAGTTCCGACTCCATGAGCGTATCCTGCCCACCGCCGACCCCCGTATCCAGTGTGGGAAAATTAAATACACTTTTAAACCATGCAAGATTATGGCCTGATAAAAATGTCCATCATATTAGCAGCTTAATTATGAAGCCCGTGTCATGCCGACAATATCTTATCCTTATCTATTTTTGTAATCTTTCGTATAGTTTCTACATTCAAATTTCGGGCTTCTGGATTATTTTATGGGCTAGTAACTTTCAGGAATAGCTAGCCCGACTGGCTAGCAAAATGTTGGAAACTTTTTTGCTCACTGCCCCTCTCTCATTCCATGAGCCATGGCACAAATTGAAACTATTATATACTACCCATCAAAGATTTAGACTCACTAAAAACATTCACTCTATGTTATGTATGTATACTAGGCACAAGAAATAAGGGAACCCCCAAGTGGAAGTTATACTTGAAACAATGCTACATAAAAGTTGCAGGCAGATTGCATTCGAACCCAGATCGGAAATCATTATGGCTGACACGACAGTCAGCACCATGTTACCTTTACATGATGCACGTGCACCATGCACCACACGTGCATTCTAGCCTAAAAAACTGACAGTAAGCGTGTCCCTCTATCTCTTGTGAAAATGCCACCTCGACAGTACCTGACAAACGCACAGAAATGGCAGGCCCTTGACATGATAGAGGGTGGACAATCTCAGAATAATGTTGCCCTGTTTTTCAGGAATCCCGAAAGCGTAATTTCCCGTCTCATCAACCTTTAACGTCAGACAGCGGGCGTTAAAATGTGGACCGGTCGAGGAAGACGCCCTAAAACCACCCCCAGACAAGGCAACATCCTGAGAGCTATAGCTCTGAGGAATCGATTTGTCACAGCCCCGGATTTAAAGATGGAATTCTTCAGAACCACAGGAACACGGATTTCGAACTCTACTGTACAAAACAGGCTCCGTAGCAGAGGTCTTAAGTCAAAACGTCCATTCAAAGGCGTGACGATGACAACTGACCACAGACGTCTTCGTTATCAGTGGACTCATTAACGCCAGAGGAGGGGGAACCGGCAATGGCGATATGTGATGTTTAGTGATGAATCCCGCTTTTGTTTGCGATTCACGGATGGACGATTGCGTGTGTGGCGACGCCGAGGAGAGCGTTATGGGAGACCCACGGTACAGGAACACGATTCTTATGGAGGCGGCTCTATCGTGGTCTGGGGAGGAATTTCTTTCAATAGGAGGACTGATTTGATTCTTGTACGAGGTAATTTGACAGGTCAGCGGTATATGGACGAGATCTTACGGCCACACGTGGTTCCAATGGCTCACAGGGCAATTCGAAATTTTGTGTTTCAGGACGCTAATGCACCTCCTCACAGAGCTCGTGTTGCCGCGAACTTCTTGCAACAACAAGGTGTTACAACTTTACCCTGGCCGGCTAAAACCCCAGATCTATCCCCTATCAGACATCTGTGGGATGTGTTTGGGCGTCGAGTGCGTCTTAGGGAGCCTGCACCAGCAAATCTTGATGTGTTAGGTAGAGCACTGCAGCAAGAGTGGCACGTGATTCCGAGAGCGACAATTCAGCGGTTGGTGTCCAGCATGCCTGCAAGGTGTCGTGCATGTATTGCTGCTCACCGGGGACACGCTCGTTATTTAGCATATCTGACATACTTAACGTACGTTTGTGCTGATTAAATTATACATGCTTCACAAAGTCAAGGGGTTCCTTTATTTTTTGTGCCTAGTATATATATGGTTACAACGAAGATGAACTTCTCCACTAACTTGGGGGAAACAACTGCAAACCTTATGCAGATTAATTGCACGAGGATCATGCATCAAACTGCCCAAAAGTATATGCAAATATCGTGCATGTGAACAGCTGCGTTTTGGTGTAAAGTTTTGATAAGGATTTGCCATTTTCAACATTTTCATCATTTATTGAACGCATAACAATACTCTTTTCAACGTTATGAATTTGTTTTACAATACATCGGTTCATGTGTAAACAGTGCCTTTAAACAGTATGGCATATTTTACAAAATTTAGATTAGAACAGTTGCCTGAAGTAAGTGGCTACATGTACACTAGTGAGTCTAAACTCTTGATGGGGAGTATATTTATATCTGAACTCCATTTGATCGTGTTTAAGATACGACTGAAGTATACTCACTGTTCCGTCTGACCAGACACACAGCTGCCAGAGTGATGAGGATGAAGGATGAAGCAAGGGATGAACCAACAACTATGTAGATCATGCCGGGTCCTCCGTCTGCCAACACCAGGTGGAACATCATCCTAACTGTACTTATATATTCCACTGATCTGGTGAACTATTTATAAAATACTACATGTCGTAAAGACGAAGACTCGTGAACAACAACCGTAGTTATACTCACCATCTTTACTCCGAGACGTTGTAGCAGGGGGTGTCGTCACTGTCGCTGCTGTGTCAGTAGAAGGCAAAGATACCTTAGTAGGTGTGTCGGTCCCGTCATCTACATCAACGTTGGGGATATGTGACATACGGTGTGAGTGTAGTTTAACGATACTGACTGTTCGTGTATCGTAGTGAACACAAACTAATTGATTTAGATGCTGAGAAGGTACTGAACAATAAGGAAACCTCACATTTGCCAGAAAGGAATTATATTGAAAATGAGTAGTACAGGGCAGTGTTTGCACAACTTTCATTTGGCAGTTGGCCATCAGGGCCTGCTGCCGCCTGCAGACTTTAAAATCTACAGGCGCGGAATGAAATCTGCAGGTCGAATTTGTTAAATCAAACCAATAAACACAAAATAGTCTACACTGTTTCGACAAAATCAATTAGCGAAGCCTTTGGCCCTGAGACAAGTTTTTATTTGTTAAAGACTGGTGTTGACATTCCTAGGCGCAAAGCGCTGAAATACCAGGAATTGAAACATGGATTGTTCCCGAACGTTAATAAAGAAAACAATTATGGGAAAGAATAAAGTTGAAAACAATTGACAGATAATTTACTGAAGGCCACAAGGGCCAGCAAGTATTTGAAACTGCCGGCCCGACACAATAACAACCGGCGCCGGGGCTTCGGGTCGCCGATGATTTTGAACGCTGGTACAGGGTATTTGATATGGGCAAATCCCATAATAGCCAGGTCTGACCTGACGCATCGGCCCATTTAAACTGTGGTGAACAACGCGACCCTGCGTAGTCACGTGGTCATAATGAACAGTTAAACATAGATAAACGGTTCTCATGCAACGCCTTACACATGTTGAACGTGAACGTGCAATTGGCATGATCCAGGCTGGCCAGTCTACTACGGCTGTTGCACGTGCAATAAGATGCAGTAGACGGACAATTTGTGCAACCGTTTTACGTCCGCAATGTCAACCAGTAACGCATTGTCAAGGGGTCGCGTAACTGTCCAGACAATACGAAGCTGCTTGCGAGCTGCCCATCTGTATGCCCGATGTCCTTATGGTGGGCCGATTCTGCCACAGGTAATCTGTAATGACGCTTGGCACAATTGTACCTGTGCTGGAACCAGAGAGAATGGAATAAGGTTGTGTATAGCGACGAATCACGTTTTACTCTGCAATTTGCAGACGCGTGCGATCGATGCGCACCGTCACGCGCAGATGGTCTGGGGAGCTGTCTGTCTTGTAATTCGTGCAGCGGGATATCGTGACCAGGACCCCGTTTCATAAAGCGATCGTAGCGCTAAGGTGATCGTAGCTCCCATACTTTAACACAGACTTAAGACTGTCGTAACGCCACGATCGCTTGTGAAACGGGGTCCTGGTTCTTGTACCGGAGCAGGTGCCGTCCAAGGCTGCTCATGGTCCAGGCCTTCAATTCCAACATAATGATGCGACACCACGCAGCTATTTTGACACGAAAGCACCTGCAAAATGCGGGTATTGACGTCATGGAGTGGCCATTGAGACCACCTGAACTCAATCACATATGGGACGTTCTTGAAAGAAGTCTTCGTGGCTTGAGAGTTCAACTCAGGAGAGTGCAAGAGCTGGGCGCCATTTTGGCACAGCAATGGCACAGGTTGCCTAATGTTGTGTTCACGGGTGTTAGGCAGTACAAGCGTCAATATGATGGCTAGTTCCGGGGTAATCAAAATGCAACCCTATCGTGGTGACTGTGGGGTGCGCCTTCATGCCTAATCCTGTTTTACTACACGCTCATTACGTACATACACCAGAAACTTATGTGCCCATTAGCATCAAGCTTTGTTCCATGTTAGCATCTTTAGGACATCAAGTTACACATGTGAAGTTTGTTATTGAGTTTAGTATAGTTCACAAGTAGCAAGAAATGACATTTCTAGGTGATCCCAAACCGAATAGGTTTTAACTTCCTTACGTGGCATTTAGAAGCTGGTATGATGAAGAGGAACACTTTGTATGGATAGACAACTTCTTTGTTGCAAGTTGCTTGATACCGCATCCACTGCAGTAGTTCTCCATCCATTAAAAAGTGTTCCTCGAATAGGTTTCATTATCTTAACCCCTAAAATGGGTTCATAATATTTCATTTAAGACCTACTGGGTGCATACACTCCCACACAAGGTGACACCATTTGAGCTTGTGGACATTGTCGACACAATACAGTCATAGTTTTGTGTTTGTATCGGTACAAGGTTTGGCATTTTCAAACCAACACATTATGTCAGTACCTCAGAAAGTATACAGGAAAGAAATGCTCTTTCGATAATCAATCAGAGTAACTGAAGTAAAGGCAGGGTAAAGGTTAATCAGAGATATTACCTGTGTTGGTCTCGGTCTCTGTTGTAGCAGTTCGCACTGTGGAATGGATCAACGATACCGTGGTGTCAGTAGAAACAACTGAAAACAGGAACATGAATTCACATATATCTTGCTCATCAGATACGGCAGATGTTGGGTATGGTTTCCCATGATGATTATAAATAAAAATGTTAGGCATATTCATTCAAACACAGGGTAAGGATTTCCAAATGACAGGTAAGTTCAAAGTTATTCATAAATATTACCGTTTATGGTCACCTCTGCTGCTGTTGTTGTTGATGATGGTGATGCTGTTGTTGGTTGTTGTGTTGAAAGGATCGATGAAGTACTGGAGACGCTGTCATTTTGTATGGAAGCAACTGAAAACACGACCATGAATGCACACAATAATTTGAAGAGACGTATATACCAGTTGTTGTGACTGGAACCATCCTCGGAACACAAGAGTGTAGAGTCCGAATTTTGGCCTACTCTACACAGAAGAAAACGATAGTACCAGGTAGTACAAGGTAGTTAGTATGGGCGAATAGGATAATGGCCAGGTTTACCTTGAAGCATCCACCCATTTCAGCACGCTCTTTACGCAAATAATATATGATTAAGATGGTGTCATATGTTGCCCATCAGATACGGCGATTGTTGCGTTGGTCATCGATAAGAAACTATCAATTTTCAGTCAAACACCGGGTATCAGTATCTTCAATGTCAGCAAGGTACGTGAAGAGAAATTGCCCATTCCATAACCAATCAGAAAAGGATATCTTAATGACAGGTAGGCTAAATGTTAATCATAGATATTACCGTTGATGGTCACCCCTGCTGCTGTGGCGGTTGTTGATGATGATGATGCTGTTACTGCTGTTGTTGTAGGTCGTTGTGTAGGTAGGATCGAGGATATAGTGGAGACGCTGTCATTCTGTATGGAAACAACTGGAAACACGACCATGACTTTAGTATAGTATTATGTGAGATGCATGTGTTCCTGTTGTACCGAGATACGAGCGTTGCCTGGACTCTGCGGAATGACTCATCACAAGGGTACATGTTTAGAAGGATGATATATTCCCCGTCTGAGGAATGACATCAGCAATATGATAATTACACATCAATGATCTCATGAAACCCATCTTGTCAATGTTATACAGCACGTCGACCTTACATTAACCACTAACTCTTCCTTGTGTGAAAATGTTGGGTTATTGCAAAGTATGGTAACATGAACATCACATCATACATTTAATACACATTGTTACTTACCGCCTGTAGCATCGTTGACGACAAACTTCAACATGTTGCCCGAAGGAATCCGATTATACCCTGAACATCCCCAAACAGATCCGTCGTCAAGAGATGAATTTATTTTCAGATTGAGTTGATGTATTGCCAAAAACAGACTCACGTTAAACCGCCCTGTTACATTGTGGAAATGTTCACTATTTCTATCAACGTCGATGATGCTGGAAATGTTAATGTTTGTGCTAAACAGGTTCACGTTATTCCTACTCCAGGTCACAAACCCCAGTGCTGCCCTATCTCGGTGGCTGCACGACAGTGTGACCACGTCCCCGTCTTTGCCTGATGTAGGGGATGCAGTCAGGATGAAGGCGGTCTGTGCCCCAGCTGCAGGATGAAGAACATCTCTCTCAATGTAATGATCGCATCTACGTCACACCATAACGCCTAGCTATACACTAGTCTGTCAACACCTGAACACTTTAAGCTCCGATTTCTCGAAACAAACTTAATCGGGGCCAGAACACTTTAAACTGGAATATAACTACGCACGCTCATTGCAATAATGCAGCATTAAATGTAGGCACGTTTATAGTTTTGTAACTTTATGTATCCACTGAGGATGTTTTAGCAATGTTTATTCCAACAAGGGAGTATTTACTGCTGTCTGCTGATACCTCTGTTAATACCTACACTCCTGAATTGCCTCGATCTCTGTTGGCTGATAGCCTTCAGTGCAACGTTGAACTGTTACTAAACATCTCGTTACAATGGAATAGAAGACCTACCTGCTACAACAGTTGTATCAAGTGCCAACAGGAGAAGAGCGGTACGTTGTAGCGATCCACACATGGCTGGTTGGAGGAAGACAACCTTCACAGATCACGCGTGTTGCTGTAATGTTGAAGTTGGATGCAACAAGGAAGTATACTATCTGAATTATCCTTGGTGTCTTTCATAGTTTTATTGACAGAAAGGGTGGATATATTTGCTGAAGGGAAAATAATTTGCTTGACGAATATCTCTCTAAGATCACAGTAAAAACTGTTTTACATAGCTATGGAACCCTTGCTGCCTTATCTAAATGTGAAAATGCCTTACACTACCGTAAAACCCGGCTGCCTTACTTACTCTACAGTGTAACACGTTCTGTAACTTCTGTAACCCGTGTTCTCTGATACCACTGTGAAACCCATACTGCCTAACACCAATGTGAAACAAGTGTGAAACTATACTGACCACTGTCAAACACACGCTATCTCTTAAACTACCTTGGTGACGTACACTACCGAGAACACCTTGGTGACGTACACAACCGAGAACACGGTGGTGACGTACACCACCGAGAACACCTTGGTGACGTACACTACCGAGGACACCTTGGTGACGTACACTACCGAGAACACCTTGGTGACGTACACTACCGAGAACACCTCGGTGACGTACACTACCGAGAACACCTTGGTGACGTACACAACCGAGAACACCTTGGTGACGTACACTACCGAGAACACCTTGGTAATGTACACTACCGAGGACACCGTGGTGACAGACACTACCGAGGACACCTTGGTGACGTACACTACCGAGAACACCTTGGTGACGTACACTACCGAGAACACCTTGGTGACGTACACAACCGAGAACACGGTGGTGACGTACACCACCGAGAACACCTTGGTAATGTACACTACCGAGAACACCTTGGTGACGTACACTACCGAGAACACCTTGGTGACGTACACTACCGACAACACCTTGGTGACGTACACTACCGAGAACACCTTGGTGACGTACACTACCGAGAACACCTTGGTGACGTACACTACCGAGAACACCTTGGTGACGTACACTACCGAGAACACCTTGGTGACGTACACTACCGAGAACACCTTGGTGACGTACACTACCGACAACACCTTGGTGACGTACACTACCGAGAACACCTTGGTGACGTACACAACCGAGAACACCTTGGTGACGTACACTACCGAGAACACCTTGGTGACGTACACTACCGAGAACACCTTGGTGACGTACACAACCGACAACACCTTGGGGACGTACACTAGCGAGAACACCTTGGTGACGTACACTACCGAGAACACCTTGCTGAAGTACACTAATGTGACAACCCATCTGAAGCAATATTGGACCTTGAGCAACTATGGACTTCATGGATGTACGATGATGAAAGATCGGCCCGGTTACCTAAACTGTTTCAAAGGTTACACAGCCCTTGAGACGGAAGAAGTAAAGATGATGAGAGAAATGATAGATAACACAAAATCAGTTCCATCATCAGTAAAGTGTCTCCAGACAATTGGAATCCAGTGTTTGTTTGGATGTGTGTGTCAGTTGTGATATTTACCCAATAACAACATTTAAAGAAGATAAAGTTTGTCTTAATGTTGAACAACTGTATTCCAAAATCAGCTAAGTTAACGGAATCAATATGAATCAATACGAGTGTATCACTATCACGGTACACAACTGAGTGGCTGTACAAGGCAAAGGTAACACTAGACAAGAGCAGTGATTGTAGCAATGAAGATAGTGATAGTACTATTCAACTCTCAGCAACAGTAATCTACTATTAGTTGGCTAACATCACTGGTGGAAACATTACGTTTAACATTTACGACAGAAAAGAAATGTCTCAGCTCCACGATTCATCAGCGACACACCACAGTTCGGTAACTAAACCTATGTCCACAGTCCCATAATGCATCCGTGGAATGTCGCGTGACTCGTCAGCTTCCTGTGGTTGTACTGATCTGGACTTAATAATAAATAATAATAAGTACGTTTATAATGCGTCAAATCCAGACACAAGTGTATGCTCATAGCGCTACATGAGAGATTCTGACATCACCAGGTTAAGAGATGCTACTAGAAATGATTAGCGTCTATAGAACTGAGTGAAGAGAAATGTTTTGAGGCTGTCTTTGAACATTTGGAGAGTAAGGATTCCTTGAAGATGATCTGGGAGTTTATTCCAGAGAGTGGTGGCATTGTAAGTAAATGATCTCTGACCAAATCGTCTCAGACGTGGGGTTGGAACAGAGAAGAGATGTTGTTGGGCAGATCGGACTGACTGACTGACTGAGTTTGGTTTTAGCCGCTTTAAGCAATATTCCAGCAACATCATGGCGGGGGACACCAGAAATGGGCTTCACACATTGTGCCCATTTGGGGATTCGAACCAGGGTCTTCGGCGTGACGAGCCAACGCTTTAACCATTAGGCTACCCCACCACCCCTGGGCAGATCGGAGGACACTAGATGGGTTTTAGACTTGTTGGAGTTCTGACAGGTAGGAAGGTGCTGACACGTGATAACACTGATACGCCAGTGCAAGCACTTTATACTGAACACGTGCATCAACAGGTAGCCAGTGCAGTTTTATCAGTATGGGCGTGTAACTATTTTTGCTGCAGAATTCTGAATGGCTGAAGCCAGGACATCTGTTCTGTGGTGATGTCACATAAAAGACTATAACAGTAGTCCATCTTGGATAGCACTACACTCCTGACAAGCATATGGGCAGTATGTGTAGATAGCAGGTGCCGGATGCTGCCGATGTTCCTGAGATGACAGTGACAAGCTCTGCGGGTCATAGTGATGTGCTGATCCATCGACAGGTCATTGTCCAGGATAACTCCAAGATTTCTAAAGATTTCTAACACAGTCAGTGGGAAGAACCTGAGACTGTCCAATACTAAGAGATGAAACATTTGCCTTGTTCCGCTTATCACGTGTACCAATCAACATGGCTTCTGTCTTGTCTGTGTTTAATTTCCAACATGTTTGTGTTCATCCAACACTGAATGTTGCTGGTGCAGATACCCATATGAGAGACAGCAATCAAAGCATTCTGAGGCAGGAAGGAATCAAGTAACTGAGTGTCATCAGCGTAGAAATGGTGACCAATATTCATGGATGAGAGTTTTCCCAGATCAGAGGTCTAGATGGTAAATTAATAAATAAAAGAATGTCCGAACACTGGAAGTAGAAATGCGGCGTTCATTTTGCTTATGATAATCTCCGATTTACTTAAAAAGATGTTTTTAAGTTTCACCGTCTTCAAACTGTATGTTATTTGTTTTCTTGGTAACGTGCGTCGATCTAAGGGCACACATGGCAATAGAAGAGCAGTTAACCTTCACCGAGGATTGTTAATTTAGGTCACCGACACCGTCGTCTTTTCGGTCTGTTTTGTGCCGGAGATTGATCTTCGGAAAATATTAAATTTGGCATCCTAGAAAAGAAGTACAGTTCCTACCACGCCATGTATGGTGTTGAAATATAGTTTTGTCCTGAACTATCATAACGCGTGCGTCCTCGTGCTTTAAATATAATAGTTCAGCAAAATATTGTACTTTATTGCACAATACATGGGGGTAGAGTGAACTGTATTTCGTAATTCATATGCTTGAAGTTGCTTTAGAAAAGAGTGTTTTATCGGTTGTTCGCCAATAAACAATACAAACACTCATAGTTTGTACAAACTGAGGCAGAGGCTGTGTTACCGGTAGAGCTGGACATGCTTACCCTTTTCAAGAACACCCGGTGTCGTCAGTGATTTTCATGTACTTTTCCAGCATTATTTTGCAGTTACTCGAAATGGAATCTCTTTGTGAGAAAATAGAGACTGGTTAGCGTCTGGGGGTGATATATTATTCTTCAATACATACAATAGTAGAACTGCAGGCCTACACTACTGAGAAAACCCTGCTGGCGTACACTACTGCGAACACCTTGCTGGCGTACAGTACTGCGAACACCTTGCTGGCGTACAGTACTGCGAACGCCTTGCTGGCTTACACACTGAAAACACCCTGCTGCCTTACACTACTGAGAACACTGAAAACACCTTGAGGGCGTACACTACTGCGAGCACCTTGCTGGCGTACACTACTGAGAACACCTTGCTGGCGTACACTACTGCGAACACTGCGAACACCTGAGGAACACTGCTGGCGTGGCGTACACTACTGAGAACACCTTGCTGGCGTACACTACTGCGAACACCTTGCTGGCGTACACTACTGAGAACACCTTGCTGGCGTACACTACTGAGAACACCTTGCTGGCGTACACTACTGAGAACACCTTGCTGGCGTACACTACTGAGAACACCTTGCTGGCGTACACTACTGCGAACACCTTGCTGGCGTACTGAGAACACCTGCTGGCGTACACTACCTTGCTGGCGCTGGCGTACACTACTGAGAACACCTTGCTGGCGTACACTACTGAGAACACCTTGCTGGCGTACACTACTGCGAACACCTTGCTGGCGTACACTACTGAGAACACCTTGCTGGCGTACACTACTGAGAACACCTTGCTGGCGAACACTACTGCGAACACCTTGCTGGCGTACACTACTGAGAACACCTTGCTGGCGTACACTACTGAGAACACCTTGCTGGCGTACACTACTGAGTACACCTGCTGAGAACACCTTGCTGGCGTACACTACTGAGAACACCTTGCTGGCGTACACTACTGAGAACACCTTGCTGGCGTACACCTTGCTGGCGTACACTACTGCGAGCACCTTGCTGGCGTACACTACTGAGAACACCTTGCTGGCGTACACTACTGAGAACACCTTGCTGGCGTACACTACTGAGAACACCTTGCTGGCGTACACTACTGCGAGCACCTTGCTGGCGTACACTACTGAGAACACCTTGCTGGCGTACACTACTGAGAACACCTTGCTGGCGTACACTACTGAGAACACCTTGCTGGCGTACACTACTGAGAACACCTTGCTGGCGTACACTACTGAGAACACCTTGCTGGCGTACACTACTGCGAGCACCTTGCTGGCGTACACTACTGAGAACACCTTGCTGGCGTACACTACTGAGAACACCTTGCTGGCGTACACTACTGAGAACACCTTGCTGGCGTACACTACTGAGAACACCTTGCTGGCGTACACTACTGCGAGCACCTTGCTGGCGTACACTACTGCGAGCACCTTGCTGGCGTACACTACTGCGAGCACCTTGCTGGCGTACACTACTGCGAGCACCTTGCTGGCGTACACTACTGCGAGCACCTTGCTGGCGTACACTACTGCGAGCACCTTGCTGGCGTACACTACTGAGAACGCCTTGCTGGCGTACACTACTGAGAACGCCTTGCTGGCGTACACTACTAAGAACACCTTGCTGGCGTACACTACTGCGAACACCCTGCTG